GTTAAACGAACACTTACAGAGTTACACGACTACACAAAAGTTACAGAGTTATAACAATTACAGAGTTCCACCGTCACGCGGCAAATGCAGGTATTGTGCTCTATGCAAACATGACTCCTCGTAAAAAAGGTGTCAGTTTTGTTGCCGTTTTAAAGGGTAAAAAAACTATTATAATATTTTTTACTGCCAAATGAGGTTCCAATGGTGTAAATGCTTACCCCGAGCTCTCATACTCTGATTGATGGTGCATTGTCTTTGAGTTGTGCGCCTTTTGGCGTCATCTGGTCCCACACCATGTGAGACTAAGGAAAGCTGTCTCGGGTGTGGACCAATCAACTTCAAGGACAGTGCATACATTATCAGAGTTATGTTTTTTGTTTGCATTATGACTGCAGGTATTGTGGTCTATGCAAACATGACTCCTCGTAAAAAAGGTGTCAGTTTTGTTGCCAGATTAGGGTAAAAAAACAATTATCATATTTTTTACTGGCAAATGAGGCACCAATGGTGTAAATGCAGAGTTGTTGCGCAACAGCGTACACAGCCTTGGAACAATGAGAGACACACACAGTGCCGGATAATCTTCGTAGCAAAAGTCGCTACACATGTAGCTACGGGCCCCGTACTTTCAAGGGCTCCGCGCTAAATGCTTTCAAGCTATCAAATTTCAGTTCGGTGATTTTGCACTTGCTCTATTGCTATAGTACTATACCACCTTTGACTTTTACGAACAACCGGGTGTTTAAGGTTAGCGATTTGTCGTATTATCTGGGCTGTATAGCAAATGAAAAATAAGTATAACCAGTAAAAACAAAGTTTTTCACTATAAATCCTTTATATGCGTGGCGGCTAGAGTCCTCTCGTCCTCTGGCTTGAGATGGCTGCCACCTATGGGTCTGATGATTGCATTGCACCATTAAGCAATTGGTAATTAAATATAATATTTTAGTCCTAAAAAGTGTAAAATTTTGGGAAAAAAAAATTCACGAACATTAATTATCACGCACAACGAGTCTGTGTGCAAAATGTCAGCTCGATTGGATCACGGGAAGTGGGTTAAAAAACGACCGAAAGATTTGCACGGTCCTAAGCAAGCAAGCGAACTTAATATAAAGGATTTAATTAAAAATACAATTACTTTACTATGCAAGTTAAACATATTTGTGTTTTAATATGTGTGTGTTTATTTAGGGCCCCTATATAACACCATATGCTACAGGTCCCACACTAGGTTCATCCGGCACTGGGGACACAACAAAAAGTGGCGTGCACAACGCCTGGTAATGCGGGGGGGGGGGGGGTGTATTTCCATTTGTCCAGTGGTGAGACTCACAGTAGCCCGTCAATTTCATTGTCACGGTTCTTGAAATATAATAAAGTCTGTGTGCGTGCGTGTGAACCAGAGTGTGGGGGCAATGATGGATACCCCGTGCTGGGCTCCCACCGGTGAATCTTGGTCTGTAATAAGGTAGGGTACTGATAAAGGGTTGATAGAAATGCCAGTGACGATGGTCTGAACCGGTTCTGGGCCTCCCCTAGGTCAACTCAACCTAAAATGAGTGCCTGGTGCGGTGTGTAAACATCGCAACTGGGGAGACAAAGGCGGCTGGGCGTGGTGCTGGCCAGCCCCCCCCCCCCCCCATGTGCCGTGCCGGCCTTTATAGGTGCTCACTAAAGGGACGACCATAAATGACATCACGCATCACACAGTGTGTAACACATACACATCACACAGTGTGTAACACACACAACACACAGTGTGTTATAACACACTGTGTAACACACACACAACACACACTGTGTGTGTTATAACACAAACAATACACACAGTGTGTGTGTGTGTATAACACTGGGGTGTTATACACACACACATCACACAGTGTGTAACACACACATATCACACAGTGTGTAACACACACACACAGTGTGTGTTATAACACACACTGTGTGTAATAACACACTGTGTAACACACACACAACACAGTGTGTGTTATAACACACACAATACACACAGTGTGTAACACACACACATCACACAGTGTGTAACAACACACACAACACACACTGTGTGTATTATAACACACACAATACACAGTGTGTGTGTAATACCACAGTGTGTTATCACACACACATCACACAGTGTATTATAACACACACACACTGTGTTATAACACACTGTGTGTGTAATAACACAGTGTGTAACACACACACATCACACAGTGTGTAACACACACATCACACAGTGTGTTTTTACACACTGTGTGTGTAATAACACACTATATAACACACACACAATACACACTGTGTGTATTATAACACACACAATACACACAGTGTGTGTTATAACACACACGGTGAGTGTTATAACACACACAATACACACACATCACACAGTGTGTTATAACACACTGTGTTACACACACACATCACACAGTGTGTTATAACACACACACAGTGTGTGTTATAACACACACAATACACACACTGTGTGTGTAATAACACACTGGGGTGTAACACACACACATCACACAGTGTGTTATAACACACACACACTGTGTTATACACACTGTGTGTATAACACTGGGGTGTAACACACACACATCACAAAGTGTGTGTTTTAACACACACAATACACACAGTGTGTAACACACACACATCACACAGTGTGTGTTTTAACACACACAATACACACAGTGTGTAACACACACACATCACAAAGTGTGTGTTTTAACACACACAATACACACAGTGTGTAACACACACACATCACACAGTGTGTGTTTTAACACACACAATACACACAGTGTGTAACACACACACATCACAAAGTGTGTGTTTTAACACACACAATACACACAGTGTGTAACACACACACATCACAAAGTGTATGTTTTAACACACACAATACACACAGTGTGTAACACACACACATCACACAGTGTGTTATAACACACACACATTGTGTTATACACACTGTGCGTAAAACACTGGGGTGTAACACACACACATCACAAAGTGTGTGTTATAACACACACACATCACAAAGTGTGTAACACACACACATCACAAAGTGTGTGTTATAACACACACATCACAAAGTGTGTAACACACACACATCACAAAGTGTGTAACACACACATCACACAGTGTGTGTTTTAACACACACAATACACACAGTGTGTAATACACACACATCACAGAGTGTGTAACACACACACACATCACAAAGTGTGTGTTTTAACACACACAATACACACAGTGTGCAACACACACACATCACACAGTGTGTTATAACACACACACATTGTGTTATACACACTGTGTGTAAAACACTGGGGTGTAACACACACACATCACAAAGTGTGTGTTATAACACACACACACATCACAAAGTGTGTAACACACACACATCATAAAGTGTGTGTTATAACACACACATCACAAAGTGTGTAACACACACACATCACAAAGTGTGTGTTATAACACACACATCACAAAGTGTGTAACACACACACATCACAAAGTGTGTAACACACACACATCACAAAGTGTGTGACAAAAAACACACATCCCAAAGAGTGTAAAACACACACATCACAAAGTGTGTAACACACACACATCACACAGTGTGTAACACACACACATCACAAAGTGTGTAACACACACACATCACAAAGTGTGTGTTATAACACACACATCACAAAGTGTGTAAAACACACACATCACAAAGTGTGTAACACACACACATCACACAGTGTGTAACACACACATCACAAAGTGTGTAACACACACACATCACAAAGTGTGTGTTATAACACACACATCACAAAGTGTGTAACACACACACATCACACAGTGTGTGACACACACACATCACACAGTGTGTAACACACACATCACAAAGTGTGTAACACACACACCACAAAGTGTGTGTTATAACACACACATCACAAAGTGTGTAACACACACACATCACAAAGTGTGTGTTATAACACACACATCACAAAGTGTGTAAAACACACACATCACAAAGTGTGTAACACACACACATCACACAGTGTGTAACACACACATCACAAAGTGTGTAACACACACACATCACAAAGTGTGTGTTATAACACACACATCACAAAGTGTGTAACACACACACATCACACAGTGTGTGACACACACACATCACACAGTGTGTAACACACACATCACAAAGTGTGTAACACACACACATCACAAAGTGTGTGTTATAACACACACATCACAAAGTGTGTAACACACACACATCACAAAGTGTGTGTTATAACACACACATCACAAAGTGTGTAAAACACACACATCACAAAGTGTGTAACACACACACATCACACAGTGTGTAACACACACATCACAAAGTGTGTAACACACACACATCACAAAGTGTGTGTTATAACACACACATCACACAGTGTGTGACACACACACATCACACAGTGTGTGACACACACACATCACACAGTGTGTAACACACACATCACAAAGTGTGTAACACACACACATCACAAAGTGTGTGTTATAACACACACATCACAAAGTGTGTGACACACACACATCACACAGTGTGTAACACACACATCACAAAGTGTGTAACACACACACATCACAAAGTGTGTGTTATAACACACACATCACAAAGTGTGTAACACACACACATCACAAAGTGTGTGTTATAACACACACATCACAAAGTGTGTAAAACACACACATCACAAAGTGTGTAACACACACACATCACACAGTGTGTAACACACACATCACAAAGTGTGTAACACACACACATCACAAAGTGTGTGTTATAACACACACATCACAAAGTGTGTAACACACACACATCACACAGTGTGTGACACACACACATCACACAGTGTCACGTGTGGGAAATTCCCAACGCGTCACCGCCCACGGCCCCGCCCCCATTGGCCCCTCCCCATTCTCCCTCCCCCCTCCCCCTTCTCCCATCGCCTTCCTTCGCTGCGGTCACACTCGCTCACACATCCCCCACCACCACCACCAACATCACCACCATCGTCCTCACCACCACCACCAACATCATCACCATCACCACCATCATCACCACCAACATCACCATCACCAACATCACCATCATCACCATCACCAACATCACAATCATCACCACCACCAACACCACCAACATCATCACCACCAACACCAACATCACCACCAACATCACCACCACCATCATCACCACCAACATCATCACCACCACCATCATCGTCCTCATCATCATCACCACCAACATCACCAACACCACCATCATCACCAACACCAACATCACCACCAACATCACCACCAACATCATCACCACCAACATCACCACCAACACCATCACCACCACCAACAACATCACCACCAACATCATCGTCCTCATCATCGCGAAATCGTCACCTTCTTTGCGCCATGGCCAACAGAGATGGCGGGTGAGTGCTCACTGTATCATCATCCTCAGTGTTGTTGTTGTTGTTACCCCTACACAGGGGTAACCTGGTAACCTGCTACACTCACTAGGGGTTACACATCATTGTTAACCACTTACGACTGTGGTGGTAACGTGTTGAGTTATACCGCGATCGGGTTAATCTGTTAAACCTTCACGGGATTGGGATAACGTGTTAACAGGCCTCAAGGTAACCTCCAAGTTATATCTAAACAGCGAGATAGAGTTAGTGTGGTAACTTAGTTACACAGGCCTCAAGGTAACCTGTTATATCTAAACAGCGAGATAGAGTTAGTGTGGTAACCTAGTTACACAGATCTCAAGGTAACCTGTTATATCTAAACAGTGAGATAGAGTTAGTGTGTTAACTTAGTTACACAGGCCTCAAGGTAACCTGTTATATCTAAATAGCGAGATAGAGTTAGTGTGTTAACCTAGTTACACAGGCCTCAAGGTAACCTGTTATATCTAAACAGTGAGATAGAGTTAGTGTGTTAACTTAGTTACACAGATCTCAAGGTAACCTGTTATATCTAAACAGCGAGATAGAGTTAGTGTGTTAACTTAGTTACACAGATCTCAAGGTAACCTGTTATATCTAAACAGCGAGATAGAGTTAGTGTGGTAACCTAGTTACACAGATCTCAAGGTAACCTGTTATATCTAAACAGTGAGATAGAGTTAGTGTGTTAACTTAGTTACACAGGCCTCAAGGTAACCTGTTATATCTAAATAGCGAGATAGAGTTAGTGTGTTAACCTAGTTACACAGGCCTCAAGGTAACCTGTTATATCTAAACAGTGAGATAGAGTTAGTGTGTTAACTTAGTTACACAGATCTCAAGGTAACCTGTTATATCTAAACAGCGAGATAGAGTTAGTGTGTTAACTTAGTTACACAGATCTCAAGGTAACCTGTTATATCTAAACAGCGAGATAGAGTTAGTTGTAAACCTAGTTACACACAGGCCTCAAGGTAACCTGTTATATCTAAACAGTGAGATAGAGTTAGTGTGTTAACTTAGTTACACAGATCTCAAGGTAACCTGTTATATCTAAACAGCGAGATAGAGTTAGTGTGTTAACCTAGTTACACAGGCCTCAAGGTAACTTCCAAGTTTTATCTAAACATCGAGATAGAGTTCATAGAAAGCGTGTAAAAAGATCGTTTAAAATGTTATTTGTATTTTTTATTATTAGAATGGTATTGTCATCAGTATGGCATAAGTATACCAAGTTTGCAGTCGATAACACATTGGGAAGTGGGTTAAAATTGAGTTGCAAGATTTGAGGATTCATAATCAACGATTTTTGGGTTTAGATCGCGTTTATTTATAAATGTGTCGTAAATAAACGCGATCTAAACCCAAAAATCGTTGATTATGAATAACATTGGTCGCGAAAGCCTACGTGTTAAAGATTTGAGGATACGACAACAACAGAATTATTTTATTATGTATTATTTTTATTATTTTATTATTTCCATTCTACGTGACTTTACCGAAAGAACCAAGAAGATGAATCCCTGCAGTCACGAAAGCTTTAAATCGAAAAAGAATGAGTTAAATAAAAGCGTGTAAAATTAAAAGTTATTTTGCGTTTCTCCCTCGTGATGACACTTTGTAGGATGAACGTTGAGGTTTATAAGGGACGCGTGGTGACCAATAAGGTCTGAATTGGTCTGTAATAATCTAGGCCACTGATAAAGGGTATGGATTTGTGGTGTTTTTAAATCCTTTATATTAAGTTCACTTGCTTGCTTGCTTACGACCGTGCAAATCTTTCGGTCGTTTTTTAACCCACTTCCCGTGATCCAATCGAGCTGACATTTTCCACACAGACTCGTTGTGCGTGACAATTAATGTTTCCAAAATTTTACACTTTTTAGGACAAAAATATATTTAATTACCAATTGCTTAATGGTGCAATGCAATCATCTGACCCATAGGTGGCAGCCATCTCAAGCCAGAGGACGAGAGGACTCTAGCCGCCACGCATATAAAGGATTTATAGTGAAAAACTTTGTTTTTACGGGTTAATTTTTATTCAGTTGCGAGTGTATTGTGATGTGTATGCCTGTGTTATGTATAATGCGGCAGAGTTGTTGTTGTTGTACGGTGTTGTGCTAACGTTGAGTTGCGTTATATTGATACGTTATATACTGGTGATTGTGTTGAAGATGTTATATTCTTAGGTTTTTTCCGGTAAAGTCACGTAGGTAAAAAACATAAAAAAAGTAAAATAAAATAAAAATCACGACGTTTCGGAGGCAACACAAGCTTCCGTCTTCAGGTGGTACCGTCACAGCCACGACAGCTGTATCAAGTAAATGAGAGATTGCAGAAGCTACCACTCCGTTTATATAATGGTTGGAGAAGGGGGTGGGGCAAGGGCCGCATACTTTTATTAATTTGGTAAGGTGAGGCTTAAGACTAAGAATAGACTGCATAACAAAGGCTGAGCCTTTGTTATGGAGAGGTGCGGTTTGTGACTTTTTAATGTTTTTTTCCAACGTGACTTTACCGAATAAACCTAAGAATATGAATCATTGCAGTCACGAAAGCTTCAAATCTGGAGTTGAAGATGTTGTTAGTCTGTACTGTGTTGGGAGCCTCGTGTTAGCATCAGCAGCGTGTACAGTGCATGATCGTGTACATTGTGGTGTACAGTATGTACCACGTGGCAGATCTCAAAATTCAGATGTATAATTCAGGGCACTTTAAAGACGTGTGGGTGATCGCTGGTTGTTATAATCATCAAGTGGCTTGAACCCTTGCATGCCATTTAATTAGGACTACAATCCAGATTTTTTTTTTAATTAACACTGGTCAACCAAAAAAAACGTTTTTTTTCTGGCCTGGACTTTTGCAGCTGTTTTAGACTAATTTCAGGGTGCTGATTCCAAATCTGATCTCAGATTTGCTCTATCACATCTCATTTTTATGCTATCGGCATACCCCATTTTAATTGATTTTACCCGAAATTAACTCTGTCACTTATGATTGCAAGTTGTTGCGAGTCAGTAACTGCTTTAGTGTTAAAATATGGTGCTGTATTTTTAGGATAGTGTGTTTATAATATCATTTTATGTAGATGTCCACATTTATTTAATATTTTTCTTCTGCAGTTTTTATTGAAAATGCAATATTTGATATCTCAAAAAACCTGATGTGATAGACAAAAACTGATGCCAGATTTGGAATCGGCACCCCAAAATTACCTTATAACCGTTGGAATACCTTGTGCCAGAAAAAGTGTGTTGACCAGTGTAATCTATCCACCTTTCTTGATAAAGGAGAAATTCTCCGAGAAATTGCCGCGGTGTTGGTTGGGACATGCCGGCCGAACTGTGTGACCTTTTCTCTCTTCCACGTCGAGATGGTGAATATGGTGCACCTTCAATTTCGTGAACTTTGTCAAACCCACTGACTTATTTCCGTCTCATTTCAAGTCAATCAACCAATCCACGTGGCACCTGCTGGGTCTGTCCCGTGACCTTTTACCTTCGATCCTTTTGACTCGTCACACATAAATCAAAGTGTACCTAGCCAGGCACAAGCGCCGTGGTAACGTCACCGCCACCTAACGGCTAATGGCGGTTGTTGTTGTAGCTGTTGTTGACATGGTGTCTGAGGTTTGCCCACATTCGTGGAGCCTGGCTCCGTGTTTCACGTTACAAAGATGACGGACGCTCTCCTGTCCTTTCTTAGGATGCAAACCGCGGTGCAGCGTGGCGGTGGTGGCAGCAACGGAGGCAGCGATGGCGACTACATGGAGGAGTTCACGGTGCCTGCCAGTAGGGAGACTCTGGTCAACAACGTAGCGCAGAATCTACAGCAGATCTTCTTCGTGTGCATGACCCTCGTGACCACGCCGGGCGACAACTTCTCCTGGATCAAGCTCACGGGAAAGTCTCTGGAGAACGTACAGCGCGCCAAGGTGACCACTGGCTTCCGCCAAATCATTTTTCGCCAAATTATTTTAACTCGCACCTAACCCTTTTTACCGGGTTAAAGGGTTAAGGTGTCGACGTGCCAAGGGGTGAGGGTAAAGGGTAGGGTAAAAGGTAGGCTCGTTGCATTTTACCTTACCTGCTAAAGGGTTAAAGGTAAGGGTAGAGTGATGTATTGTGGTAAGGTAAAAGGTAGGGTAAAGGTAGGCTCGTTGTTTTTACACTTTTACCTTGCCTTGCCGAGGCCTACCCGCACGGCAAGAATGGGCGGGCGCAAGGTGGTTAAGCGAGCACACACTCTGAGTTGGGTTTCGATGGCCAGCGATGATGGCACAAACGTCGGCGGGAGCCAGTGACGTGTGTGGGTGAAGTACGCTCAAACGACCCCCACGATCTGACATGGCTTTGGGTGTCCCTTAGTCCAGCAGTAGAGTGACAAGTGGCTGAAGTAATGTTTTACCGTGAGAACGCCTGGAGTTTCTCCGTCGAGAGTCTGTGTCTTACAACAACAACAAAAACGCTCGGACATTCGGTTCGATTGGAGAGAGGCAGGCCTACGCGTCGGGTGCCCGAGTCGATACAAGGGTTCATTCATACGGCCCGGTTGGCTTGCTAATTTTAATTCACAATTTGGTATTTAAAGCGAGTTGGGTTTCTGTGGTTAACTACAAAGCAACCGGGACTTTTCCCCTGTGCGGGGGCTGCGGCCGGCTGGCTGGTCGGCCGTGCGTCAGTTTTGCAAATGTGGAAAATGACCATAAAAGGGGGGTGAATGGTGCGAGACTGCGTGGTCGTGTTGTGGGAAACGCGTTGGGTTCATTCACGACGGGCGCCACTGTTTTCTGGCGGCGTGGAGCAGAAACCAAAATCCCCGCCGCCGCCGCCACCACCACGCGTGTAGCTGCGGCTGCTGCTACTGCGGTGTGTGCATTGCGTGTGGCGGTACACGCTGCCGGCGTATTCTGAATTTTGGGTGATTTTTTTTTCTTTTTTTGCCGTCCGTGCTAAATGCCGATCTTGAATTATTTACCCAGGAACTACCTTTTCCACCCCCCCTCCCCCTTCAAGTGTGGAGGAGCGGTGGAAGAGTAGTTAGCGCCCAGCATCTTAGTTCTACAACTAAGCCCATCATCTCACAGGCTCATTGTCACCGTTGTTGCACTCTGCCTTGTGTGTTGTGCTCACCACTTGCATGCCCGCAAACTCTGTGTGCAGCGCACTGTGGGTGCCGTGCGTGTCGTGTGCTCTCTGAACCGTGTGTACTGTGCGTGTCATACTTGCTGCACATACCATGTGTGTTGCGTGCCATATGTACCGTGTGGATTGTGTGCGTCGTGCGCGTGGTTTGCTTCGTGCGCGTTGTCTCCCGTGCGTGCCGTGCGCTTGACGTCGGCTCTGCCACCCCCGCAGGAGTTCGTGGTGGGGCTGTGCGGCGAGGGCCTGCAGGTGGAGCAGCGCTTCCCGCCGGGCCTGCAGTGCGTATACGAGGGCCTCGCCGGCCGCTTCCTGCGCGCCCTCGCGTGGGACAGCCGCGCCGACGTGAGCGTCACCGGCGTGGGCCTCCTGACCATCCGGGGAGGCACCGAGGCCGTGCTGCTGGCGCAGACGCGCGTGCAGCACTTCTGCGACTGCTGCCGTGAGACGGACGCGGAGGGGCGCGGCGCCATCGGCGCCGCCGCCGCCGCGCCGGGGGAGGCCGACTCGCTAGCCAAGCGCCGCTTTAACCGCCTGGTGGAGGAGAACGGCGGCAAATACGGCACCGAGTTGCTGCTGTTGCCCGTGAGCATCAAGCGGGACCTCCTTGAGCTGCTCGACGCAGTGGGGGCCCACGCCACTTTCTCGCGAGGTCCGCCCGATCGGACACGTGGGTCCTTCGTGCTGTCGGCCCGAGGGGCGGAGGCGCCGGAAGCGCCCGGTGGTGGCGGCGACGGCGGAAATAGAATCCGGGTAAGGATGCCGACCGAGGGACAGAGGACGTATGGTAAGGGCAGGGAGGACCTCTCCAGGGAGGAGAATGACAGCCCCGTGACCGAGCTGAGTTCCAGCTTCACCAGCGCGCTTGGCAAGGCTGAGGCGGAGACACCCGAGACTGAGGAGGCGGAGGAATGTGCAGGCAAGCCCTTTAAGAGAGTGAAAAACCCGTCGGTTAAACGGAAAACCTCGGACAGCGAGTCGACGGTTTCCGGGCAGATGAAGAAGCACTCGCCCGCCAACGTGCCGTCGTCCCGCGGGCTCGGCAAGGAGGAGGGCCGCGCGGAAGCGACCGCCGCTGCGCAAGCGACACCGGAGCCGGAGAGGGAGCTCAAGTACCTCGTGAATTTCTTCAGCACCATGGGCTACGATCCGGAGTTGGTGCGGAGCATCGTGTTGGAGATGGGGCAGCAAACCGAGGCCTCGGAAATCCTCGATCGCCTCCAGGAGAAGGCCACCTTGCTCACGGCGGACGAGGAGGAGTCCGGCTCTGAGGATCCGCAAGAGGGCTCGTACGCGACGCATTGGGTCATGGAGGCGGCCATGAGCCTGGGATACACGCGCGACGAGGTGGGCGACGTTTGCCGAGCTGTGGGCACCGACCCGCGCAGCGTCCTCAAGGAGTTGCACCGCATGGGCAAGCGAGCGGCACCTGCGGCCGCGGCTGCGGCGGCGGAGCCGGGCGCCGAGAGCGCGCACCGAGAGCAGCACCGCGAGCGCCAGGGCGGTCCCACGGAGGCGTTGGCGCGCGTCTTCTCCCGGGGCGTTTGCTCCGACGCCGACAGAGCCGAAGCGCAGGCGACGTGGAAGAAGCCGGGCCCGGAGGCGAGCCTCTCGCGTTCCCACGGCGGAGAGGGAGTGGCGCGCGGCGGCCCCGTGAACGGCGCCGCGCGGCTCCCCCGGGGCGGCGTGTCGTCGTCGTCGTCTTCATCGCAGCGCGCCCGTTTGCCCAGCGCCGAGGCGGACGACCTGGAGACGGACGGGACGGGCGCGCCTCCACCGGCAACGAGCAGACGCCCCGGCAAAACGGACTGCATCGTCATCTCGGACGACGCGACGGGCGTCCTGCACGTCCGCGGGCCTGCTGACGGCGCGGCACGGAAAGAGGCGACAAAGTGGCACGTGGAGCAGCTGGGCCCCCGCCAGGAGTGCACCGCCGTTGCCAGGTGGGTAGGTGGGGGCCGGCGTGGCCGTGAATCTGAGTAGTGGTTAAGCCTTAGCCCCCCCCCCCTCCCAACACGCAATTTGCAGTTTCACAACTCGATGTTTGGACGGCGTCTGCTTGTGGGGCGAGTTGCGACGAGTCGATTAAATGTAAGTTGGTGCCCTCGCGATGCACCCGTCAAGTGATGCGCGCCAGAATTGCCTATTGACATTTTCCACTGATTGTTGTATGAAGGATGGGATAATATCAGATTTATGCCGCGGGCGGGGTGGGGGGAGGTAACTGAACTAGAACTGAGACGGGCAAAAACTCCGGTGCAAACCAGACGGTAAAAAAAAAGAGGCAGAAAAGCGTTTAATTTCGAAACCAACCGCGGCTCTCGGATCGTGGCGATCGCTTGAATCGCCGGTGGGGGGTTTGCGCTGTCACACCGACCGAGTCCGCTCGCTGTTCCGTTTCTCATCGATGTTCCTAACGACTTCACAGCACCAGCAGAGTGGCGGCCGCCGCCGCTGACACCACCACCGGCTCCAGCAGCAACCTGCAGCCGACAGAGCTCTACCTGCTGGGGCTGTCTAAGCCATACAAGCTGTACCTGCCGAGCGAGCCTGGCAAGGAATCCGTGCGTCACGTCATCGTGGACGGGAGCAACGTCGCCATGGCGTGAGTGCGATCTCGCGTTTTCGGTTTAGTGGGCGGTGGGGGGGTGCGTCGTCAAAGGGGGGCGGCCTTTCTGAGCGATTGTCGTCAGGCGAGTTCTGTGACTTTGTTGATGCAGATCTAACACTCGCATCGAGCTCGCGTTTGTTTACACGCTCTTGTCCTTGACCCCTCCCACCGATTGGCTAGGTACGGTGCAAAAGAAGTTCAACATACACGTATATACACACATACACGTCACAGACTGTGATATCATCAAGAATCGGTATCGTCGTCATCACCACCATCACACTTAAATACATATTTATCTTTGTCACGAGCAGCATTTTCTAAATAATGAGTGGACTCGCAGCACAACGTAGATGGGGAAAATCCGACTGACAGAAATAGAAGTCACTTCCCTAACTTGCACAACAGTTGCGCACAAAATTTTACCACGGTTTTTTGTTGTTGTAATTATTAAACGGAGCCTTGGCTCGTGGGCAGCGAGGAAGTGCCGTCTGTTCCGTCACCACGTGCAGACGTTGTGTGTTCGCGCAGGTGAGTCACTCGCCCGCAGGGTCAATTTGCCGAAAGTCGTCATTGAGAAATTGCGCGCCGCTAATCCACGGCAAGACAAAACCGCTCGGGTACTTACCAATCCTACCAAGCGACGTCACGGACGCGTCAACGGGGCTCATGATCGCAGGAGCTCGCTCACGTCCGTCGTGTGTGACTAAGGGCTCGCTGCAGAGCCTCGGCTTCGTCACGTTTTCCCCGGCGAGGCCTTGAGAAAATTTCCCAGCCGAGGTCACGCAGGCGGGGTCACCACTGGGGCCAAGGTGACGGTTATTGACGCCGCTTGCCGCCGCTGTATGTGCCGCGAGTTGTTACCTTTTGTTCGATTCTTGTACGAACACCGTTCGTGTTACGCTTGACGGGCTGTCAAAGGGTCCGCCCGCATACCTTGGAAGCGTTGCAAAATGTGGGATGAGAAAAAGACATGGAGGAGGAGGAAGAAACAAAGACACGGAGAGCTTTGACAAATACTTTTAGTTTTTTCGGTAAAGTCACGTAGGTAAAAAATGAAATTAAAATTAATAAAATAATAAAAATCACGACGTTTCGGAGGCAACACAAGTCTCCGTCATCAGGTGGGACCGTCACAGCTAGATTTGCTGTATCTTTGACAAAGACTACGCGCACGAACGCGAAGCACTTTCTGCGCAACTACGATCGGGCGGCAGGGTGGTGGTGTGACGGTGACGCTCATGCCTCGCAGCAAGAGAACCCTGGGTTCGATTCCCGACTCAGGTGTCCTCTCTGTGTTCAGTTAGTGTGTTCCCTCTCCTTGCTCTGCATGGGTTTCCTCCAAGTTCTCCGCTCTCCTGTCATAACCTCCGACGCTTGAACTAGGCCTTGGTACCCGGTGTGTCTCTCTGCTAGGTTGACTCGGCCTGAAATCAACATTGTCGAAGCAACGGGCCACGCCAGAGCCGAGCTTTAGTTCACATCCCATAATGCTGGTTGTAATCTACAGCGAATCGTCGTGGAACTAAATGATCAAATTTTGCTTGGACTTTTCAACATTCCTAACTAACCAAATCAAGTTTTCACGTTTGCCCGCGTGACAACTTTCATTTGATTGGCTCTGTCGGGTCGTGGAGGGCTATCGGTGAAAATCGCATCCACTGCACAAACCGTGGCAGATGCGGAATCCTGATGCACAAAAGTAAAATGTAAAACTCTCCAGTAGTGTGCGGCTAGTGGTCATCCAGAACAGACCGTACAACGTATATCGACGCAATATCCGGTCCACAAATACAAAGAAGACATCGCAGTGATTACACTGTGCTGCTCCTGATGTGGTTGTCTGGCTTGGCCACTCGTGTGAATTTGTAGTCGTTGTTCTGCATCTTACATCAGCCATACGAAAGAAGACGATTGGTGAAAATTTACATCATGCCTACACCATCGGACCCAAAAGAAAACTAATCATGGGCCTACTCTGTAGTTGGTGCAGTCCCGAATGAGCACCTAATACAAATGATGGTCGTATTAATACTCTTTAGTCAGGAAATCCACTTCCAAGTCTCGAGACTGGTATTCACGAGGGCACCTGCATGAGGATGTTTGGCCAATCCCTTCAGCGGGGTGTTCAGCTTAACATGGGAGGACACTGGAGGGACCCGAAGAAAATCCACGCACGTGAGCGGACGACGCTGAAATCTCCGCACAAGACGGATTCACGACTTCGCACCACCACGTTTTGGGCCACCTCGCGGCCCGGCGGGTTTTCACAAATCTACGCGATCCCATCAACTCTACTAAGAGCCAATCGATTAATACGAGGCAAGCCATTACTAAGAGCCAAGCCATTATATTCCAAAGGCCGCTTGCAATGGCGATACACGCTCCTACACGTAACTGTATCTGCCGCCAAAGAGTGTGAAGCTGGGCCACTGGGCTTGTGGTGGGTTGTAGGGCTCACTCCAGTCAACCCCCCCGGTGGGCTCCATTCACCAGGCCTTTGTGAATGCAAACAATTGGCGAGGTTTTACGGGGGCACTTGCAGTGGCGCTGGGGCACGCCCACGCGGTAAATTTAGACTGGAATTTCCCAAAAAACTTTAACCTTGCCCTTTACACCCAATTGCAGAGACGAGTGCTTCCGTGTGCAGAGTCAAACGCAAGCCGCAGTGACTGCGCGATTAGGGGCAGCGGTTTGAAAAGCCGTGCGGTAGGCGAGAAATCCGCGGTTATTGCGCGGGGAGGCAATAATGCACGGCTTGCGCTTCCTGAACACCAAACGCACTCGTACACAACGATGGCTGGAGCCATGGACATGTGATCTTCCCGTGTGCTTTGTCCTTAGTATCTTTAGTTCATAATGAACGTTTTTGGGTTTAGATCGCGTTATTTATAAATGTGTCGTAACCCTCCACCACCCGACACGGCCAATCAGTAAAAAAAAAGTGTCACGTTGACAAAAGACAAATAGTTCACTGCTTTAGCCCACCGGTGTGTTGAAGCGTGAAACCACAACATTTACAATTTGAGTAGTACGACGTTTCGCTGGTAATTGCATCCAGCATCATCGAGCAATTCGCCAGAATCTTTATTTGTGTTTTTTGGGGCTGGTGGGGCAAGGGATGGGGAGAATTTCCCCCCTCACCCCACCCCCCCGTTCCCTATTTGCAGAGCACCTTGGGTTGGTGGGGGGGGCGTTTCAAGGTACGGTTTGTGGAGAGGCTTCACTCCGCGATGGGGTTGGAGCACGCGCGTGCGTGCGTTTGTACTCGCCCCCGTATCCCGCGGAAACCCTTGGCTAAGGTACGGTGCCAAAGAAGTTCCACGTGCATGCGTGCAGCCACTTGGAGGCACCACATTCACGCGAGAGAAAATCTTTTTTTTTTATCGTGACGATTCGCCGGCGACGTCGGAATCCGCCGCGCGCCTGGGAATGCGGTGACACTGGGCGGAATCGGGAGGCCTGGGGGAGGATGGGGTTGGGGGGGTTTTTGTGGAGAGCCGCGGTGCGGTTTGCGCGACGCGGTGAGTTGGGGGGGTCTTGTCTCGGCCCGGCCGGGAAGGCGTAACTCGTCAGATACCTCGCAGCCGCTCCGTAGTTTCCCCCGCGTCGAGATGCTTGTACAAGTGGCGCGCCGCGTGGGATATGCAGCCCACACCACAGGCTGGAATGTCTAAACGGATCTGAAGCATTTCGATTTAAAGCTTTTTCGTGACTGCAGGGATTCATCTTCTTGGTTCTTTCGGTAAGGTCACGTAGAATGGAAATAATAAAATAATAAAAATAAAACATAATAAAATAATTACTATGTTTTATTTTTACTATTATGTTAAATTTTTCTTATTTTATTATTTCCATTCTACATGACTTTCCCGAAAGAACCAAGAAAATGGATCTGAAACAGTTCAAGGGCACTTTGTTCCTTACAGAATCTGCCAGCCAGCCGCACACGTAAGCTTTGTGACTAGGCACGCCTGTCTCGATTCTAAACTGAACACGTTATTTGGTGGTGATGCTGCTGCGTTGGCAGTGGGGCACAAAAGCACAGTTGGCAACTATACTCTTTGGTTCTTACGGTAAAGTCACGTAGGTATAAAAGTAAATGATAAACCACGACGTTTCGATCGCAACACAAGCAATCAGTCATCAGGTAGAAAGATACAGCAGTAGAAGTAGAACTGCTGTATCTTTCTACCTGATGACGATTGCTTGTGTTGCGATCGAAACGTCGTGGTTTATTATTTATTTTTCTACCTACCTGACTTTACCGAAAGAACCAAAGAGTATGGATTGCTGCAGTCACGAAAACCTCAAATCAAGAGTTAACAACTGAACAAAAACTACCGCAATGACTCTACCTCTCTCGCCTCCCGAGTATGCTGTGAAGGAGGGCCGTTGCCTAAAAATGTCGCCAATTATAAGACTCTTCCGTTTAAAGATCACGAGCCTTGTGTGTTTCCTAAGAAAGGAATGTGGCCATTTGCTGGTTAACAAGATGCGTTGTGGGAAATCTAAATGTGTGATCTCGCAAACTTATAATGAACAAAAAATATGCTTTGGTGTTGCTGCAGCTGTATTGGCAGTGGTACACAAAGCACACTCGCACACAGAACGCGACACCTTCATCAACAACGCTGTGGCCTCGAAAGGTAAATATAATTGGCGATGTTTCGGGACAGTGCGGCCCCGTTTTTCACAGCGCACACCGGGGCTAGCTACGTCTCGCGATACAACGTACGAATGCGCACGATCTACGTGTCGTTGAATCTCGCGCAAAATACCACGGAGACCTTTCGAGAGGAAGTCGCCCGGCTTCCCCGTCAATGGGTGGTGCATTCCTAGTGCCTGCCAGGCTTTGGACGGCCTCAGCAGGCCTCGTCGCTCGACGCCAACGGAGGGCGACCGAGTGTCTCTGTTCTGTCGCTCGCTGTTTGCGGGTTTGGAGGAGCGTCGTGTTTGACGTCTGGGCAAGTCGGTTTAATCGCCACGTAGGCTTTCACCACCAGTAGTGAGGACGTCATCTTGCTCTGTTTAAGACCGGAAGCAGGAAGACTTCTTCACAATTCTGGCAAATTTGGCCGATGGAGCTGGTTATAAGCTACCAGCGTAACGTCGCGTATTCAAATTGGAAACGTAGTGGGTTTACTCTCCAACACACCGGTGTGCCGAAGTAGTAACTAATTGGCACGTTTACGTGACCAACCTTACAAATTGGTTGTGCCGGGTCGGTGTTCGGTTAACGACACATTTATATTTACGTGATCTAACCCCAAAAAAACCCTTTATTTACGAATAGTCTGAGCAAGTCGCTGTGTGGGCGGGTTGGTCATGAACAAAACAACTTCATTGGGGCTGCAGGGTGGCAGCAGTGGCAACACTCGTGTGGTTTGACAGCAAAATTCAGTAAAATTTTTAACTCGGGCGCCTTAAAGCGTGTTAAGTTTGCAGCGTTCTCCTGTTCTGCATGGATTTCCTCCGGCTTATCCAGTTTCCTCCTCCGATGGCGACAAAAAAAAAAAACAGTGTCAATGCCATTCACTCAAACATCCCAGAGAGGCAACATCCCCCCACCCCCACCGACTGCGAAAACTTGGCAGGACCCTCCTAAAAGGGTCTTGAGACTCGGCGAGGCTTTCCTAGGTGAACAAGCGAAGCAATAATAATAGTTCCATTGGTTCCATCGGCGTCATTCCACGAGATCAAGTGTTTTGTGTTCTGCCTGAACTCTTGCAGGTGGAGAGCAGTGCATTCGGCCTGTGCTAAGAGAACAGGCCGTGGAAAGTGATATTGCAGAATTAATCTTGATTTGAAGCTGTCGTGACTGCAGGAATCCATACTGCTGGTTCAGCAGTTCCACTGCTCGATTATATTTTTTCCGCCTGAGGACGACCGCTTGTGTTGCGATCGAAACGTCGTGGTTTATTTTATTTTATACCTACGTGACTTTACCAAAAGAACCAAAAGTGTATTGCAGAATTACTTGGGAGCTCGCCTCAAATGACAATTATTTTTATCTACACACTCAGAGGTTGCCCACTTTCCCGTGCACTGCTACAGAGAAACATTCCTCATATGACAGTCAAACTGATCTTATATAAAACAAATTCTCATCGCTGGATTTTTCCAAATTAAGTGAGGAATAAAATGTAACTTGAAGTGTTTATTGCAGTCGTTGATGCCCAGGTTGACACCATCAACTCACTATGCTTTAAATGGGGTCTCTGTGCGAGTCTGTGGGTCTCTGTGCGAGTCTGTGATCTCTATGCAAGTCTGTGGGTCTCTGTGCGAGTCTGTGATCTCTATGCAAGTCTGTGGGTCTCTGTGCGAGTCTGTGATCTCTATGCGAGTCTGTGGGTCTCTGTGCGAGTTTGTGGGTCTCTGTGCGAGTCTGTGATCTCTATGCAAGTCTGTGGATCTCTGTGCGAGTCTGTGATCTCTATGCGAGTCTGTGGGTTTCTGTGCGAGTCTGTGATCTCTATGCGAGTCTGTGGGTCTCTGCGAGTCTGTGATCTCTATGCGAGTCTGTGGGTCTCTGTGCGAGTCTGTGATCTCTATGCGAGTCTGTGGGTCTCTGTGCGAGTCTTTGGGTCACTGTGCGAGTCTGTGATGTCTATGCGAGTCTGTGGGTCTCTGTGCGAGTCTGTGGGTCTCTGTGCGAGTCTGTGATCTCTATGCTAGTCTGTGGGTCTCTGTGCGAGTCTGTGGGTCTCTGTGCGAGTCTGTGATCTCTATGCGAGTCTGTGGGTCTCTATGCGAGTCTGTGGGTCTCTGTGCGAGTCTGTGGGTCTCTGTGCGAGTCTGTGGGTCTCTGTGCGAGTCTGTGGGTCTCTGTGCGAGTCTGTGGGTCACTGTGCGAGTCTGTGATCTCTATGCGAGACTGTGGGTCTCTGTGCGAGTCATTGGCGACGGGGTTGAGACCATAAACCCTCGATGCTGAGAACCCGGTTTAATCACCGGCGGCTCATTTTGAATTCTCAGGATCTCAGCGGTTCCCTGTGTGTTCTAGTTTCAGGTTGATCTTGTTTGACCAGGCGAGGACTCAAAGGAGATCAGGGATTCGTCTGATTTGCAAGAGTGACCTGTGGCGGTCACTAAAGCGACGAAAAGCAAAAACAAAACAAAGCACAGCAGTGATGTAAAGGGAAAATCTGGAATCAAAAACGAAAATAGTGCAAAAACTCAACTCGGGTGTTAATTCGTGAACTCTCCCACGTAGCTCAGGTCTGGCCGGGGCGGATGACATCTCGACTGATGCCCCGTAGCGCTCTGCACACTCTGACGTCTGGGCCGTTCGGACACCGCAACAAACATTGACGCCACTCGCGCTGTTACCAGAGGTGTAAAACTCTCCGGCAAAAAGGAAGACGCGACACCGTGGCCACCAATCTGGCCCTGGCGTGCGGAGGCACAACAAAAACCACTGCGCCCCACCCCCCTCCCCGATCAGTCAAATCGAATGGAGAAAAAATAGGAGAACTAAAACCATCCCCTGGTGGGGGCTGTGTAGTCGGTGGCGTGGCTGGAAAGTCCCCGTTGGCCGCTGGTGGTGGGGGAGGGATCATGGGGTGTGTGAGATGGGTGAGATGGGGGGGGGGGGATGTTGTTCATCCAGTGAGAATCCGTCCGAACTCGCCGCGCGTGTGGTTTTCTCACATCGCGTTGCCACGCAAACGCACGTACGTTCCGTCCTCGCCGCCGCCACCGCCCTGCCAGGTTTCACAACTCGCGGTCGAAGCCTCCGTGCTTGAGTGAGGCTGGCGGCTGTTTTGCGTCGTTAAAGCGAGCCATGCCACCTCCCCCCCCGCCCAGCTCCTTCCTGCAGGAGAGACGGGAGCAGTCTGCGTGTGATTCATTGCCCACTGAAGACTGAACTTTTTCTTTAAGGTAGTTTTTGTTTTGCAGGGGGAATTCCTCCGCTCTGACGCCGAAATAACTTTTGGTGTAGGTGGTGGCGAAGGCGTCAGGCGTGACCTTGTCACCGTCCCTCCCCGATCTGTGGCATTTGTCTGTAACCTCGACTTTGTGTGTATGGGGGTGCGGAGCGGTGGAAAATTGTTTCGGCACAAACCCGGCGACCCGAGTTTCGATCCCAGCTCGCGGCCAACAGCAATGGAGAACATCTTAACCCGTCCTGTTGCTTCCCCTAGGTCGACTCGGCCTTAAATGAGTAGGTAGCGCGTTGTGTTTTTAACCAGCACTGGGGGAGGCGGGTGGTGGGGTGTGATGTCGGCCACCCACCCCCTGTTGACCTTCATTCGGTGCTTTCTATAACCACACTTGGCCCAAATGTCTGTTAAAAGGCTTTATGGGGGGAAATATTTTGCGTGGGCTTGTGTCTCACTTGCCGCCTGTTGCGATGGCCACATTTCAACTCCTTGAGTTGGTGGTTGTAAAGGACAACGTGGCCACACATTCAGTTCCTTGGAGTCGGTGGTCTGCATAAGGCCGAGAGCTTTTGTACACGCCCTGCACGTTGTTAAATCTGTGTGTTTGTGCCCGTGTGTGTGTGTGTGTGTTGCAGGCACGGCCTAAACCGTTATTTCTCGTGCCGGGGCATGGCACTGTGCGTCGAGTACTTCTGGAAACGCGGACACCGCAACATCACCGTCTTTGTGCCGCAGTACCGCACGTGCCGGGACCCATCCATCAAAGGTACCCACGTTTGGTGCATTGTGGGTAGTGTATACCACGGGCGTGTGGTGCATCATAGGTAGTGTATACCACGGGCGTGTATTGCATTGTGGGTAGTGTATACGACAGGTGTGTGGTGCATTGTGGGTAATGTGTACGACAGGCGCGCATGGCGTACTGTGGGTAGCGTATAAGACGGGCGTGTGTGGTGCATTGTGGGTCGTGTACACGACGTAATCGTGCCGTGGGTACATCCGCTGGGCGCGCGTCCTCACATTGCTCGCTCCCCCCCCCCCGTGCCCTCTCCGACACAGAGCAGCACCTGCTGACGAAGCTGGAGGAGCTGGGGCTGCTGTCGTTCACGCCGTGCCGCATGTTCGAGGGCCGTCGGATCACCACGCACGACGACCGGTGAGAGAGCACGGGCGGTGCCCCTACGCCGGCTGCCTCCGCGTCCCGGCGCGCCACCGCCGCTCAACACCGCATGAGCTCTACGATACCCCGGCGGCCCGAGTTCGATTCCCGCTCACGGCCAATTATCTGAAACGGTCCCGGACCTCCCCTAGGTCGACTCGTGCTCAAATGAGTACCTGGTCCGGTGTGTAAAATATCGCCACTGTGGAGACAAAGGCGGTCGGGCGTGGTGCTGGCCAACCAGCCCCTCGTGTGCCGTGTGCCGGCCTTCATAGGTGCTGCTCGCCAATAGCATTTTCCCCAACAGTCTCTTAAGGTTATAAAGGGGAGTATTCATAATCAACGTTGTTGGGTTAGATCGCGTTATTTCTAAATGTGTCGTAACCCTCCACCACTCGACACGGCCAATCAGCAAAAAAGTGTCACGTTGACGAAAGACAAATAGTTCACTACTTAGCCCGCTGGTGTGTTGAAGCGTGAAACCACGACATTTACAATTTTTGAGTACACCGGTGGGCTAAAGTAGTGAACTAATTTGTCTTTTGTCAACGTGACACTTTTGTGCTGATTGGCCGTGTCGGGTGGTGGAGGGTTACGACACATTTATAAATAACGCGATCTAACTCAACAACATTGATTATGAATAGTATTGGTCGCGAAAGCCTACGTGTTAAAGGGGAGTATCTTTGTTTTGTTTATATCCTCGCGTAGACTCGTACATATGTAGTGACTCACTCCGAGACCGGGTTCTTAAGGTACCTTCTTTTATTCTGCACGTCAGGGAACTCCACACACCCTCCCTACGTGCTTACACGCTAGTCGGCAGTACCTAGCTAGTACAGTTGGCAGGCTGTCTAACTAGCGGCGTCTAAGATGGTCGAGACGGTGGTGACCAGAGGTCGCGATCGGGTACCCGATACCCGGGTACCCGTACCCGGCCGGGTACGGGTACCCGTTTGCGACCCTGATGCGGCCGGGTACGGGTAAGGAATCAAAACCCGTTTGCGACCTCTGGCGGTGACGAACAGCGACACAGCGAGGGGATCCACTTTCAGCAACAGCCCCGAGCTCTCGCCCCGGGCCCCCTTTTATCCTCCTGGCGTGGCGTCGCTCCACCCACACCACGCTCGCTTCCTGGAACCTACTTGTAGGTTCCCGGGGCCACAAGATAGACCCCTTCATGGGCTTTTCCTTAGATCTCCTCACCCCCGTATATACTCCCTCTGCTGATGTGTGTACTGCCCCCTGCTGCCAGTACCACTTTCCCATCAGCAGCCAGCGTTATTTCACTACACATATATGCACCTCCGATTAGCACGGTTGGCTACGTACGGTGCGAAAGAAGTTCAACATACGTGTGTGTGTGTCTTTGCCTTTGTAGCTTCATGCTGCACCTGGCGGACAACACGGACGGGATCATCGTGACCAACGACAACTTCCGGGAGTTTACAACGGAATTGATCGCCTGGAGGGAGATCGTTAAGACGCGGTGAGTTGTGGTCACGCGCGCTGACGTGCACGCAAACACGCGGCAGACTGTGGGCGCGGTGGTAACACAACCTCCTGGGTTCCCTTCTCACTCGGGCGTCTTCTCTGTGTGCAGGGGGCCGTATTTTCCAATAGGGCACGGTAGGCACTGTGGTTAGGGCCTACAAAAACTAAAGGGCCTAGGAAAAAAATGTTGACACATTTTTTCGTATGATAATAAAATGTAGCCAAGATATTCTTCTTGAAAAACATATTAATATATAGCAAGGATTGACACTGTATATGTAACGAGGCAGCAGAGGTTTTTTTATCAGCTTTAGCTTCAAACAAAGAATGCTGCCCTTCACAATTTGTTCCCAAGATGGCAAGATACATCCTTAGAGCAATGTAAACATTCGGATAACATCTTCAGTGTTCAGAAGATTGAATATTTTGTTTAGGCTTTTACCTTATTTTAAAAAAATAATTTATAATATCCGCAGCACACAGTGTGTGAATTAGGGCACAGACTAAATAATTAACTCATCAGTAATGACATCTGTCCAGCGACTGGACGAAGTAACACGCGAAACAAGCGAGTGACAACAGCGGTAGTACAGTACACCCTTGTTAATTCGACACATCTTGGTTCTTCCGGTCGTGGAGATGGTAGCGGTTTTGTTACAAGGGTGTCAAGTAACAGCGGTGTTATAACGGCCGCGTGCGTCTGCGTTTACCTCCCCGTGACTGCAGGATCCTGCCGTACACTTTCGCGGGAGACGTCTTCATGGTTCCGGACGACCCGCTGGGGCGGCACGGTCCCCGCCTAGACCAGTTCCTCACCAAGCCCAAGTCCACGCGGTAACTAGCGCCGTCTCGTCCCCACGGTCCTCGCCGGGGGGTTGGGGTGGTGAGACGCGTCTCAGCTCTAGTTGTGGTGTCAGAACTTTGACCCGCGTGGGCCACCGTTTTGTTTAATTTGTTATTTCCAGCTACATGTAATCCCCCGCCCGCTCGCCAGTCGTGCTCTCGGTGGCCCCGTGTAAGAAGACGCTTCACGTTAGAGAACGGCCCCTCAGAAGCGGATGCCACGGAGGTACCTCGGAGGATCCTTGAAGTGACCCCCGGTGCATGCACAGTAGAGGGCAGCGGGTGCCGTGGCGGTTTGCGCTCCGTGCTACGAACCCGGCCGGCCCGAGTTCGATTCCCACTCACGGCCAACTCGATGAGTACGTGGTGCGATGTGTAAACATCTCCACTGGGGAGAAAAAGCCGGCCGGGCGTGGTGCTGGCCACCCATCCCTTCGTGTGCCGTGCCGGCCTTCATTCAGTGCTCGCGAAAAGCTGCAAAATTCTGTATCGGCTATACGAGGCGGGCGGGTGGGGAATGTTTGTCTACACAGGCTGACGAGCGTACCCTACGTTTGCCTCGTCACACAGATTGATGCACCACAACCCGGCCGCGTACCAGGCGAAAACCTTTCCGCTCCGCTTACCGTCGGCGGCAGCCGCCATCGTCGCAGGCGTCCCGGGCTTTCACTCCATGAACGACTGCGGACAGCCGCGGCCGACAAACGACCTGCAGGATCTACGCAGGCAGCTCCTGGACATCTTCCCCGGCGAAGAGGAGAAGGTGCAGCGGGTGCTGCAACAATACCCGGCGGTGAATGACCTCAACTTGCTCTCGGACCTCATGCTGGACGTGTAGTGAGAGGGGGATGGAGGGGGCTTGGTAACCCCCCCTCCATCTCGGCGTTCTGCCAAAACTTGTCGGCGTCTACAGCAGCGCGGTACAGCTAGAGAGCTGGGCACGTGCGGGGAGTGGTGGTAGTGGTGGCGGCCGCGCTTACGGTGGTGGCGATGGTGGTGGCAAGTACGAGGAGCAAGCGGAGAGCGAAGGCCGGCAGGAGATTGAGCGAGCGGGGCTCACAAGCGGATGTCACCATGACGACGATGATGACGGCGGCGGAGGCGATGATGATGCTGTTAATCGTGGTGGTGGTGTCGCTGTCGCTGTGATCTTGGCGATGACAGGATGGTGGCAGCCCCACGGTGTGGCAGACACGCCATCACGGTGATGGCGAGGCTGCGATGGGGTCCTGTTATGAATCTGTGAAGCCCGGCCTTTCACCGCCACTTCACCGTGGATGCACATTCGAATTAAACTGCAGTGATACCAATGTTGTAAATATTTTGGTTATGGGCGTTTAGTTAATTCAATTTAAGGTGTTAATTTAATTTCTCACGAAGTGGCGGACAAAGAGGAGAGGAGGCCTTCATCCGGAAGTGGATTTCTGAAAATATTTATTTATTGTGTGAGTTTGCAGCCGTTCCAGAAAGCCGCCAACATTGGCCTGCCTGCCCGAGCAGCCTGGCTTCGATAGGCATCACCGTTTAGAAATTGTACATTCCCCCCATCCCTCGAGTCATCAGGGTCAAGATGCATTTGCTGCAAGCTGCTGCACCTTCGGTCATCTTGGGCTGAAGGAAAAAAGCAAGCCCGTTTAAAGTCACCGCTGCTTTCGCTATGTCATATAGATCTTTAACAACTGGGCAAATTGCTTTGTAGAGGTACTGTTGATGTTACTGTACTGCGTAGGATTCGGTGAATTTCACCCCGAGAACCTACGAGTTTAAATAAAAGATGTAAGCGCTCTCATGACGAGGGTTCTGATCCAGATGGAAATGTTCCGTCCCATCGAATCGGCCGGTCCAGCCAGGAGACGGTGCTAGGAGGGCGGGTTTGTCGAACGTGTTACTTATTCAATCTGTTGCACTTTGTTGGTGTTTTGTTGTCGATGGAAACACCGTGACGAAAACTTTACACGCGAGAGCTCTTACTCGCGATGTTATATGGATTCATAATTGATTTTTTTTGCGTGGTTTTTCGGTGTGGGGGGGGGGGGGGGGAACATTGTCAACCTGTGACGACCTACCGACCTCCACCCGACACGGCCAAAATATACGCGAGAGTCAAAATGCGCCGTTGCATTATCGCTGCGGTACGCCGCAGGGCAATCCGCGTGGCGTTTCGCAAATTTGCTCCGGACGTTTCGCCGCCAGTTGCTGCCAAGCCTAATCGGCTGCTTGCCAGACATTTTTGTCGCGCGACTTCGTGTAATGAATTATTTTTTTTCAATCAATCTCGTAATCTGACCCCCCCCCCCCCCCCCCAAAAAAAAAAACAATTATGAATCACTTGTGATTAACACTACGATTGTCGCTGGATGTGTTGCACGTAAATCCACGCCAAGTGATGGTACCAATGACCCCGAGCAGGCGGTGCGGCAGACCCATCGCCCCGAGAGTGCTCGCGACCCATCAGCCCGCGCGCTCACAAGCTGTCCGCACCTCGAGAAGGCAAAGCAAGGACCAAGCGGTGCATGTCGGGTCACCGAGGCATGAGCCTGCGGGAGCCGTGGGCTGGATAGACAACGGCAAGTTCAGCGATGGGCTCAGTCAATGTCTATAGATTCAATCTACGGGGTGGGGGGGGGGGGTGTTGAGTGAATGAACCCCTACATTTCGATGTAAAGCTTTCGTGACTGCAGGGATTCATCTTCTTGGTTCTTTCGGTAAAGTCACGTAGAAGGGAAGTAATAAAATAACAAAAAAAACATAATAAAACAATTCTCACGACGTTTCGGCTACAACGCAAGCAGCCGTTGGTAGCCGAAACGTGAGAATTATTTTATTGTTTTATTTTTATTATTTTATTACTTCCCTTCTACGTGACTTTACCGAAAGAACCAAGAAGATGAACCCGTATATGTTGCATAGAATGGATTTGCGCGATGCATTCGCCCCAAATGCGTTGCTGCGGTTGGCCACAAAAGAAGGCGGAAAAAAAACATCCTTCGGTGTAATTGACGATTGAACGGATGACGAACCGGGCAAGGCGGCGGAGTGAAGCACCGTGCGTGAACAACGTGTGGTCACGGGAAGAAGCGGTGGTGCAGCGGTTAGCACGCTGAGCGACGTACCCGGCGACCCGAGTTCGATTGCCGCTCGTGGTCACCAACACCAGTGACGTATCTGAAGCGGTCCTGGGCCTCCCCTAGGTCGACTGAGCCTCAAGATGGGAACCTGGTGTGATGAGTAAAACAATGCCGCTGGAGAGACGGGTCTTTTGCGGCGATACAGAGGGGCTCTGTCAGCGAGTGGTTTTTGCCGCTATTTGCGCAGATGACAAAACGACGCTGCGTCTCTTAAGAGTTCATTTATTTTTCTACCGGTGTTTAAAACGATGCGTTGCCCTGGGAGGTTTTCACTCTCTTATTTGTTCAAAGTTCGTGTTTTCTATAAATACAAAAAAAACATTCACAACTGTTTACGTTTCCGTGTCGTTTAATAAATCCAACACACAATCCCCGTACAGATGGAAACTGGATGGGTGATTAAGTCCACCTTCTGACCGACAAGCCAGGCTTATACTGGTAGGAACGAAGTGAACCAGCCTACAATAGATTATATCGTCCGTCCGTCCGTGTAGCAACATCGCCCCCTACTGCAAACACTTGGCAGGACCCTACAAAAACCTTTACACTCAGTGAGGCTTTCCTGGCTAAACAAGTGTAATAATACAGTTTATATTCTTTGGTTATTCGTTCCTACCAGCCCACCCCGCAGGGACCTGTTATGGCACCACCTCGACACCCACGGGCAGGGGAGGTTTACGTGTTGTTGCGGTGATCCATCAACCCCCTCGCTGCTGCTGCCTCCACAGCGCTGGGTCATGCGCAGCCAGGGTGCCAGCGGCAAGCCACCACCGCCGCCCGGCTACAATTCCAGTGAGTGCGAGAATGAGACCACTCCTCGCTAAACACAACCCATTCGCACAGTGCAGTCCGTGGTCTCCCCCGCTCGCCTCCATCTCTCGTTTACAGCCCTGCAAAGCCAGCGGTGGCCATTCCACATTCCTATGGCAAGGGGTGGGGGGGAAGTCCTAAATTGTCTTTTCCCCAAGTTGTATCGCTTTCGGTGTCGCGTCAAGAGACTAATCCATTCTGAAACATGGCACAGCAGCACAAACAGCCCACTGAAGTGAGTGTCACAGAGCTACTTCTGAGATCCTTTCAAGACGACCTCTTCCACACGGGAGAGGCCGGCACTTCCCCACACCCCCCACCACCCACCCTCTGCACGTGCGAGCGACGGTGGTCGCAACACTCAAGCGGATATTTTTTTCATTCAAAGAGTCGCTGCTTATTCGCGTGCTTAGCAAATTCGGATATTTTATTGAAAACGACAAACAAACGCATGGACGTGAAGATCGGAAGCAGCGCCCCAGGGACGTATCTCCCAGGGGCTCCAAACACCACAAGCTATGGGCTGGACAGCACCGACAGAGGCTATGAGTTATAACTGGGGGGGGGGGGGGGCGGTTTGTGAGCACAGCAAATGATTAGCCAATCAAACCCAACTTGCCAAACACGAGTTCTGTCCCGAACCCGAACTAGCGCTACCTCTAACACGAGCCCTGCCCATAACCACGAGCCAACTCGCCACTGGCCCGATCTCTAACATTAAGTCGACCTCCAACAAAGCAAAGGACCCCCCCCCCTCTCTCCACGTATGTCTTCATCTGCAGTTGGCGATCACGGCCAATCAGGAGAGCACTGCCCGTGTCTCTCTCTCACTCGGGCAACACAAACGCAGCCCCCCCCCACCCAATCTATCTCACACAGGAGCTAACAGCTGCTCAGCGGCACCCGCGGCTCCACCCGGCCGCTGCGCCGATACGTCCGTGACGAAGCACAACTTGGGGGAGCGACCGGATCGTGTTGATTAGAACCTGGATGTGGTGGTGGAGGTGGTGGTGGATGTGGTGGTCGTTGTGGTGGTTGTGGTTGTGGTGGTTGTGGTGGATGTGATGGTGGTGGTGGTTGTGGCGTTCCGTTTAGTTGATGGTGAGGACGTCCGTCTGGATCTCGTGGCTCAGCTGCGTCTGGAGGTCGCTCAGCTTCTTCTTGAGGACGCCGAGCGCCATGAGGACCACGTTCTCGGGGCGCAGCGCGCCGGACGTCTCCACGTTAAAGTAGAAGCTACGCGCGCACACACAGATCAAAGATCCCCCATATAGCCTTAACAGACTGTAGGGGCAAGTACTGTTAGCGAGCACCTATGAAGGCCGGCACGGCAAACGAGGGGGTGGGTGGCCAGCACCACGCCCGGCCGCCTTTCTCTCCCTAGCGGCGATGTTTACACACCACACCAGGTGCTCATTTGAGGCTGAGTCGACCTAGGGGAGGCCCAGGACCGGTTCAGATAATCGTCACTGGTGTTTGACGTGAGCGGGAATCGAACCCGGGTCGCCAGGTTCGTCGTGCAGCGCGCTAACCGCTACACTACAGCTCCCCCCACACACACACGCACACACACACACACGCGCACACACACACGCGTACGTTCACACGCGTATGTTCACGTGGGTACGTTCACGCAAGGTACGTTCACAAGCGCGCACGGGTAGTTGGGATTCGTAGCGCTGTGCAAATGCCACCATGCCACCGCTGCCCACACACACACACACGACAAATATAAAGACAAATATTCCCATTATAGCCTTAACAGACTGTTGGGGCAAGTGCTGTTCGCGAGCACCGATAAAGGCCGGCAAGACACACGAGGCGGTGGGTGGCCAGCACCACGTGGCGATGTTTACACTCCGCACCAGGTACTCATTTGAGGCCGAGTCGACCTAGAGGAGGCCCAGGACCGGTTCAGATAATCATCACTGGTGTTGGCTGTGAGCAGGAATCGAACGCGGACCGCCGGGTTCATAGTGCAGCGCGCCAACCACTACACTTTTGCTCGCCACACACACAGCCACAGATTCAAATGCGTGTCCACGCACACACAGACGACACACAAACGCAGACCCACACAATGCGTGCATCTCACCGGTTGGGCACTCCGTTGGGGTCAAAGGGCGCCTGAATTTCATCCTCTTCGAGCTCGGAGTACTCGCTCTTGGGCCTGGGGCGGTACGGAAGGGAGGAAGACAGGATGGCGGAACGGAACGGCGGAGGATAATTCATCAAAAAATGTTACAAATAAAAACCAGCGCCTCTTTCCCCCCGAGCTCCGTACGAGTGCGCGTGTGCCCTCTCTACGCATAGTCTGGACGTAGCCATGTTTAGACGCGATACAAATCCGACCAGTATTCTCAGCCACTGCAGGCAAAATAATTATTATTATTATATTTTACACACAGTCAAAACTGCATCTCAAAACACTGAACATTGCGATTCTCGTGAACATGATATATACAGTAAAACCTTGGATTGCGAGTAACTTGTTCTACGAGTGTTTTGCAAGACGAGCAAAAAAATTAAATAAATATTAATTTGATAAACGAGCAAGGTCTTGCAATACGAGTAGTACGTGTATACGCTTTGTTTGCCGAGCGTCACGTGATCACAACTGATATACGAGTGCTTTGGATTACAAGCACGTTTTCGGAACGAATTATGCTCGCAATCCAAGGTTTTACTGTAAAACGAGATAAACTACGGAGACACAGCTCACACACACACGACACAGGGTACGGAGGTGAACACAACACGAGCCACAGAGAACAACATAAGAGACACAACAAAACCGTTGTACCGGTATCAGAAGTCGCAATCGGGTACCCGATACCCGTACCCTACCCGATACTCGGCTACCTGTACCCAGCCGGGTACGGGTACCCGTTTGGTGCGGCCGGGTACGGGTAGGCCGTGAGTCACTGGTAGGCCGTGAGTCACTGGTGAGTCACCGTTTGTCACTCATTTCTCAACGTCTTGTCTCTTCTCACAATTCAAGTTCCTAGAATCAACCCACCCGCACCTGCAACATGGCTTCATCCCAGAGGTCGCAATCGGGTACCCATACCCTACCCGATACCCGGCCGGGTACGGGTAGCCGGGTATCGGGTAGGGTACAGGTACCCGATTGCGACCCTGATGCGGCCGGGTACGGGTAAGGAATCAAAACCCGTTTGCGACCTCTGACCTGTATCCCGCGATTTACAAAAGGGATGCGTTCTTTAACGCGCGTACAACGAAATCTCGTAAAGCGCAACGGCTTTCCCCATTATAATTCAATACTAACAGGGAATGTGTTTCGGACGGTCATTCTAACTCGCAGGCCCTACTGGGGACCATACCATTCCTCGGGCTTGGGGAAGATGGTGTGGCGCAGGGCGTTGTCGGGGTCGTACTCGAAGGCGACCCCCGCCGTGGGGTTCCACTTGGCGTGCTCCTTGCCGAAGCCCTTTTTGGCGTGAGCCCGTAGCTTCAGCTCCTGGCCCTTGCGCAGCTTCACGATCAGGATGTCTGCACGCACGCGACACGTGCCGACGTTCAAACACGTGGCGGCGCACGCGACGCACGCGATCGACACCCAGCGGTCGCACCGCGTGCACGCGACGTAGCCAAAGACGACGAAGAATACGTTCCCCCGCCGTGGCCTCAAGACTTTTTGTGGTAAGCGCTGCGAGCGAACGCCTAACGAAAACCGGCTTTGGCGGTGGGTGGGTGGCCAGCATCTCGCCCGGCCAGTGGCGACGTTTATCCATCGCACCCGGGTAACTCAATTGAGGCCGAGTTGACCTAGGAGGGAGGGACCGGGACCGGTTCAGATATTCGTCACTGGTGTTGGCCGTGAGCGGGAGTTGAACTCGGGGGGTGCCGGGTTCGTGGCTAGGCGAGTTAACCACCGCGCCACCGCTCTTTACAACACACCGCATCGCACGCAGCATGCACGACAACAGCCGGACTCGGCGCTGCCTCACCGTCCTGTTCGCCGTAATCGTTGGGGTCGTCCTCCCTGCTGCGTGACGTCACCTGGAGGCGGCACGAACACAGGCACAACACGTGAACACGCGGTGCGCGCACGCAAACCTACAAAAACATGAGGAGGTTCCTGCCAATCTTGATTTGAAGCTTTCGTGACTGCAGGAATCCATACTCTTTGGTTCTTTCGGTAAAGTCACGTAGATATAAAAATAATAGATCACGACATTTCGATCGCAACACAAGCAATCGTCATCAGGTGAGACAACTACAGCAAGATAAAACTGCTGAAGTAGGCGAGATTCCTGCAAAGTTATTTTTTTTTGTATTAGCAGGCGGTGGTTGCTGTGTACATTTCAACGGAGTCATTTGCGACGTAATTTTTATCACGTGTGAAACTTGGAGCCGCGACGCCGCCACGCAATGGCCGACTCGTGCTGTATGTTTACGGTCAATACGCTCACAGCCGCGGTATTAATCAGGGCAGCCCGATGGATTTGAACCGTGAACCAAGCGGCGAGCGTGCGACCGCGAGGCCGTGTCGCCGTG